TAACAGAAATTAATTTATGTGAAAAGTACGAATGGTTTATTACATGAAGAACATAATAAAAGTACGTAAAGCAATGCATAAATCACTGAATATTTGCAAATCTCTGTTTCTAATAATATTTAGAATTATTTCTTGTATTATAAATATTTTATAATGAGAATATTTATATTCTATTCCAATCATTGAAGAACAGCTATATTATTTAAACTTTAAAAAGCATATAGTTAATTATTCTGTTGTCAAAAGGCGGAGAAATAATGTTAAAAAATTTCTATAAAAATTGGATAGTCTTTTATGTTTGATAAAAACACTCGTTAATTATTCTTTCAGTATTTTTTTTCTATTTTTCTTCTTCAGGTTGTCAAAATTATTCATCTTTTATTTTAACTTTTAATTATTTGAAGATTGCAATCAGACAAGGAAAATTGTTAAAACTTGGTTATATAAGTATGTTCTCAAGAAAGATAACGCTGCTGAATAATTACTATGATATATCGACGAAGATATCTTTGATAAATATAGACTCTTTATCGCGTAGAGTAAACTGAAAAAATGCAGTTAGATAATTATGAAAAAAATAATAGATTTTTATCTGTTATAGATTAAGAACAGAAGCATGGCAGCATACAAAAGAATACAATACTTCGCTAAGTATTATTTCATCCATTATTAGCAATTAAAATTATAAAAATAGTTCATTATCGAATAATTTAATATATAGAAGTCTGCTATAGAAGTCTAATATATGGAAAATATAAATCAGTTGCGTATCTAAATAATTTAATATTTTTCATAATAGTAAATCAAAAATAAGAGAGGAAAGACGGAATCTGCTTTAACCTACAAAAAGTATTACGAAGGTAGGTATATACTACTATTATCAGATATCATACTACATAAATATGTAAATTGAATAATTATAAATCGAAGCAATATGAAAGTTTATCTCTTTAGGATAGTCTATTAATATTTCAATTAATAAGTTTTCTATTAATATGGCATATTAATTTCTCGAAAATAAATGACAGAAAAAAAAATAGTTTGTCTTCTATCAATTGAAACACGTGTCTAAAATACACGTGCGCATATCGGTCACGTCATTTTTAATTGGCGAGAAAAACTGCAATTTCTTGTTTCACTATGTATAATCTGCAATAGAAAAAAATATCGTGAGTCGACAACTTCGTCCGTATTGACAAACGGATAACTGTTTGTTTTCGTTTAATACTGACTCGGTATTGGCTAATAAACAATTGTAAATGTTCTTGGAGAAAGAGTGAACTGAGGAGTAGTCTCTTTGTCGGATCAGTCAAGATACGATTGACGAGGATGTTGCGACACTTAACACGTGTGCAGAAGCACACGAATCTGCTGAAACAGTGCTCGGCAGTTCAATCTATGAACTCCTTCAGAAGAAAGGTGAGTTACGCGTGTATTGACCGGGAACGATTGGAGGTTAGGGATCTGACGGATGACATTTCAAATGAATAAAATTTGTTGATATTGAATGTAATAGATGATTCTTAGTAATTTCGTCGAACATTCGCCCCCTCTCAAAGCGACGTGACGTCTCTCATCGCGATGTTAAGTGTAATTTGTGCGTCGCGAATCTATGTTTGACTGAATATAATTGGAAATTTAGTTTATGTTCATCACAGATTTTGACGAAGACGCTTTTAGTAGCAAGAAGCAGAAAATTATGGTTGGAATGAAAATCGTCGCTCGGCATTGCGAACGAAGCGTTGAAAACAAAAAGTTTTTGAGGTTAGGAAATTTACTTTACCGATGGAGCGTAATCGACACGTGATAGAGCGACGCGCGAATTTGAATATAATTGAAAGAATAATTTTAATAATCAGTTCTTATATTTAAAACCGTCTTAAGTACGAACTTAAGATGTCATAAACCAATCACAAGGACATTTTTAAGATATTACTTAAGATGCTTTTGAAATAAAAACTAACTGTGAAAAGCAGTCGTACTTGTATTTTTATGCTGTAAAGTAATTAAATGATTGTAAGTATTTTATAAACAGTAAAGCGGTGAATCTTTGTTTTGTGCTTTGTAAAAGTCGGAAGTGAGAATTTTAAAACATGTAAATATATATATAAAATATTTCATGAAGAAAGATAGAAATCTTATGTTAAAAATTTACCATTTTTATTTGTCTTTTGTGTAGATAGAAACGAATATTTTTGTCGAAGACTGATATGAACAAATTGAACTGGACATAATGTCATATTAAATTTACAGAGTTCAGAGAGTAAAAGCAATGATGACACGAAAAAGTACAAAGAATTTGTCGACATTACCACCCCACAGGAAAAATTCCTGAAAAATATAAAACGAGATTGGAAGTTATTGAAACATGTACTATCATCTAACAGACAATATTCTGACTTCGAAAAGCTTTGGGAAAGACCTCAAGTAATTCCTTCTACTTGTGATGTGCTTATCATTGGTGGTGGAGCAATTGGTAGCTCGATAGCATATTGGTTAAAGCAGAAAGTCTACAAAGAAGAATTCAGTGTTGTTGTAGTTGAGAAAGATCCTACGGTAAGATTTTTATATATTTTCTAATATATTATATTATGTTTTATATATTATCTAATATATTATCTAATATATCTTATATATTTTCTAATATATTCTGAATATCTTTTTTGGATTAATAATTTATTAAGTTTGGTAATTAATTCAATGCATAATTAATTAAATATTATTTCAGTATACTAAGGCTTCCACGACTCTTTCGGTGGGTGGTTTACGTCAACAATTTTCTCTTGAAGAAAATATCCATATGTCACTATATGGCGCGGAATTTTTGCGAAATATTAATGAACATTTGAGTATCCCCGGAGAGCCGCCCATCAACGTTAATTTTCATCCTTATGGCTACTTGATATTGGCAACTGAGGCAGGCGTTGAGACTTTAATACAGAATTCTAAGCTGCAGAATTCTTTAGGGGCAAAAAATGTCGTTCTAACTAAAGAGAAGCTGAAACATATGTTCCCTTGGATAAATACCGATGGGATTGTGGCAGGTTGTCTTGGGTTGGAAAAAGAAGGATGGTTCGATCCATGGTCTCTCTTATGTGCCTTCAAGAAAAAAGCTAGTTATTTGGGTGCTCAATATGTCAATGCTGAAGTCAAAGCTTTTCAATATAGGGAACTTCTAGGAAATTATGACGAGAATATGGAATATTTGAAAAGATTAAATAACGTAGTCGTAAGTATGCATTATATATATATATATATACACACATATATTCCTTCTATTTTATTTATTTATATATCAATATAAAATATTCGTTGTTGTTCAGTTATAAAAGATTTTAGATACAAACTGCATGAAGTCGATCATTTGATCTACTCAATAAATATATTTATTATATGGATTAATCAATTCCATGCGATCTACATTTAAGAAGTTCAATTACGAATGTAGAATAATATCTAATAGATAAACATATTTTGTCAGATAAAAACAAACGACGGTGAGATTAAGACAATAAAATTTGCTATAGCTATTATTGCTGCAGGCGCTTTTAGTGGCGATGTAGCCGAATTGGCTGATATCGGAACAGGCGAAAACCTATTATCTGTACCTTTACCAGTTGTACCCAGGTAATTTAATGATGAAAAAGACTCGAATTTTACTACTTTTTGTTTCTCTATCTTTATTATTATTAAATAATAATAAAATAAATAATAATAAAATGATTTTCGTTTGCAGAAAGAGATATGTATACTGTTTCCATTGTCCTGATGGACCTGGCTTAAATACACCTTTAACGATTGATCCTAGTGGTACATATTTTAGGTACGAATTCAAATTTTCTTTAAGTATAACATATATTCTTCTATTATAAATTAAACAATTAATAAAGATAACAATTAATAAAGAGAACAAATTAAACAATTAATAAACAAATAAAATGATTTGTAAAATGTAAATAAAATTCCAGACGCGATGGTTTAGGAGGTAATTTTATCGGCGGAAAATCACCAGAATCAGATGAGGAGCCATCAGTTAAGAACTTGGATGTCGATCACGAATTTTTTGACAATAAAGTGTGGCCGTCACTCGCTCACAGAGTACCGGCATTTGAAAATTTAAAAGTATGTTTATTTTTCATTATCTAACAACATACACAGACAACAAATACAGAAGTACTAAGTGTATTAATGTGTTAAAGTTATATATTAAACATATAAATATGCCATATTCAATCAAAGTGATTCTTTGTGCCAAAAAAGATTAGTAATATTTTTTATGAAATTATTGAGCGATTGGTTTAGGACTGCATTTCAAGAACGATAAATAATCGATGCATAATTTGCTTAAGCTCTAGAAGTTCAAATTCAGTTCAATCAACAAATATTAGGCGGAAAATCACCTTGATCGAATTTCATGTGTATTTAATTTTATTGATCGATTTTCAGTTAATGAAGTTATACACTCCATACACACACACACACACGAACGCACGCACACACACATAAACTTTTCTCCTAATGATGTATATTCTATTTTTATGAATCAGGTGAAATCTTCGTGGGCTGGATACTATGAATACAATACTTTTGACGAAAATGGTATTATTGGCCAGCATCCTTATCATCTCAATGTATTCATAGCAACTGGTTTTAGTGGACATGGCATCCAGAAAGCACCCGCAGTAGGGCGTGCGATATCAGAGTTGATTCTTCAAAATCGTTTTGCAACTATAGATTTGTCCAAATTAAGTTTCGATAGGTTCTTAACATCAGAACCTATGAGAGAGGCTAATGTTTTTTAGGTAATAAAAAATAATGATTTTTATTTATTATTTGATTGTATTATATAAATATATAATAAATTTGTAAATATAAATTATTACGAAATTTAAAAATTATTTAGGTACCTTTTTATCAAAAAATCTGAATGTAGTAGTTTCATTGAAATACAATTTTTATAGTAATAACACAATATATTTTACAACAATAAATTGTACATATAAAATGAATACAAATTTCACGTTTCATGTTTCATAGATAAAATTTGATTCATGTATGTTGCAGCTTGTTCTTCACCTATATTTTGCAATATATTTCTCAAATCACTGAGAGATGTATTAGTTTGTATCTATAAAGAAATAAAAATTACATAAGTATTGAATCATTTATCTTAATGAGAATGTATATAAAGATTACAAAATAACGCGTAAAATATTCGATGAGAAAATGAGAATCTTACAGCGATATAATTTAAGAGGAGTAATGACGAACTGGATGTCTGTTTAAAGATATTCATTAAGTACTTATAGTCGAAATAATGCGCCAATTTTTTCCATCCTTTTGTCTCGTCTAAAATGCTTGCCAAATGTTTTTCTTGATCTATATCCATCCAAACTTTTTGTGTATCGTTTATATTTTCTTCTTTTATCGTGTTATTTATTAACATATCATTTTGACCGGAGACGAGTTGTAAAATCTGCAATAATTTTTTTAATGACGAATGTGTATATTTTTATAATGATATCAATAAGGCAACATGAAATGTTTTCCATACGTCTGGTTTATTTAATGCTAAGTCAAAAGATGATTGCCCATTGCATTCTTCCATATTTTCATCTTCTGAATGCACTTCGATTTTTATATCTTGTATCTGTTCTCCGTCAACCTATTATTAAGATAATCAAATTTAATAAAAACAAAATGTTATAAGATATTGATAAGCGTACGTACATTATTTGATTCACGATTATAATTCCTTATGTGCGGATCAGCACCGTATTTCACTAGAAGAGCACATATCTCTTTGGCTTTTGTCCCTGGTGTAACTATTGCGGTGTGCAATGCTGTATTTCCGCTAAAGTTCTTCTTGTTTACATCTATTTTGGTCTGCTCGGAAAATTAAGAATATTAGTAACATGATTTTTTATATAAAAACATTTTCAACAAATATTCAATCCTACATTTTTTAACAGAAATTCAACAATGTCTTTGTGACCTCCTTCGACTGCTATATGTAAGGCAGTTCTTCCATAGGTCATGTCAGTATTATTTACATCTGCGCCAGCTTTAATGAGAGAACATACTGCATGATACGAGCCAGCTTGGGCAGCTAATTGCAAAGGTGACCATCCACAGTCTGTATTTGCTTCGATGTTGACATCTTTTTCAGCTAATAAAACATCAATGCTTCCTTCTGCTTCAGGAACTAAAATTGTAATTCTAATTATAATTCTAATCTAATATAATAAACTTATATGTAGGATAAAATTATTATTATCATTATTCAATATTTGCTGAGATATATTATTCGCAATTGCGAATTACATTTTATCTCTACTTCTGAATCAAAATATTGTACTAAGGGTAAATTAATCAATTTTTTTTAAAGTGTTCATTTTAAATACTTTTAAATTAATAAATACATTTTACAGCTCTATGTAATGGCATTTGTCCATAATGATCTGTTATATTAGGATCTGCTCCAAGCATGAGCAATGCTCGTATAATTTCTGGTTGATCTTGCGAAGCAGCATAATGCAACGGAGTCTAGAATATAATTACAATACATTAAAATTTTTTGTAATTAAATAAAATATACTAGCATTTTTGAAAAAAACTTACTTTTCCAGAACTATTTCGAATGTTCACCAATTCTTCAGCATCTGTATTTAGAGTGCTCATAAGCATTAAGATACGTTTTACATTGTTCTTTTGTCCATATCGGAGCGCACAGTGCAATGGCGTATCTCCGTAAGTTGTTCTGTCTTTGAATGATATTTTAATAATATCTTTTACTTCATGGGGCTTCATTTTCATATTCTTTATCGTATCAATAATAACATTTTTTGCGAACAATTTGTCCTGTAGAAATATAAAATTCAGACTTGATAACATAGCTATAACATTGATGCAATAAGAAATTTCGATAATGAAATTTGTAAATAACATATTGAAGTTAATACTAGCCTTTTTACTCGGCGCACTATCATAAGTTAACTTATCTTCGCCGCCTTGGTTTAACAATTTCTCATACACTAGAAGAATAATTTGTATTAAACACAATATGTTTTTCATGTATGTAACTTTTGAATGTTTTTATTCACATAAAAACAAATACTTACAGTCTAAATTTATATGGTCGACAAAATCACGAAACTCACTAGAAGAACATCTATCGTCTAACATCTTTTTTATTTCTTTAGATATTTCGGCACTGTCGTTGCTTGAAGGCGAACTTGTGGTGGAACTTAATGGTGTATTTAAAAGCATATCATTATTAAATGTTAATGCTTGGGTCAATTCCGCACTATTTGAATGAGAGACTCGCGTTCTCTTCCTACCTGTAATTATAAAATTTAAAAAAAAAAAAGGAAAAAGGCAAATGAAAAAAGAAAAAACTCAGAATATAACAGATAACTAAGAATATTTAATATTATTATTAATTTACCTATCATACGCTCAGTTGGTTTATATGTAAACTTGATTGGTTCTGAACAATATGAATCTGAAGGACGTTCTAGTTGTATGAAAACTTCCTTTGGAGAAGTGATATTTCGATCTCTGTATGGTGGCGTTCTGAAAATACAACACAATTAATCATACGCGTTATGAAAGAAAAAAATATTTAAATGCGCTAATTACAATGTACTACATACCGAAATACCATGGCATATTGATGATGGACATCTAATTCCGAAAAACGACCATAATCCATCCAAATTTCAGTGTCATCATCGTCGAGTTCAAAGAATTTTATCTTTATATTTTCTATAATATAATGCGTTTTTTTACATCAATATGTATATTGGTATTTATAGGCAAGCATACTTAACTGAAATGCTAAAAATCGACACTTACTTTTTGAAACTTTTTCCACAAGTATAAATACCTCTTCGCCACCTTCACAGCTGCTAGTGAATTTGTCAATTCTGCATATCTTAAGTTCTCCAGTTAGTGCACTTTCTATTAAAATTAATGATTTCTTTATACATAATTTCTATTATTCACATTGTGTTCATTTATACACAAAACAATATAAAAAAAGATTTAAATAATTAAAATTTTATTATATTAATTTAAAAATACAATTTTAATGTAACAACTGATTACAGAAAAATAAGAATATTCTTTCTCGTTTCTGATTTTTTTGTAAGCAACTAAAAAAATGATAATTTTTTTAGTTATATTGTAGTACAAATGAGCGATATATAATATAGGGTGTCCCAAAATTCGCAAATTTCGGGAATCTGTGTATGTATATAAAATACAAAAATAAAAAATAGAATTTCTCGATAAATCTTTCTTTAAAACAAATTGTATTGCAATAAATTATTAAAACTTACTCAAATTATTGACTGGATTGCTATAAACCGCTGCTGTAATCGGTCTCATAATATTATGTTGATCTTTGATAAATCCTTGAAAACAAAGGCAAACACTATTTAGATTTATAGTTTTTTGATATTGCTCAGCATCAGATTTAATCTGTAATCATTGTACATTACTATTTAAAAACATTTAATTTATTTGTTAAGGTAAAAATATTCCAATTGTGTAAAATGATTTTCAAATTGATAAATGGCATTAAGATTTACCTGCGCATCATCACGAAGATTGAGAGTAGCGTTTATATTTAAACGTTTCAGTTTCTCTAGAGCTTCTTCGCGCAATTTTCGTACTATTTCGTCTTTAACATGTCTTCTCGCCGTATGTATTATGCCCATACCAACAAATCTGTAACACGAGCATAATGCTGACTAAAGAATGAAACAGGATAACTATGTTTAACATTATATTAGAAGGTATAAACATACTCGGCTGTAAAATCATTTTGAGACGAAACTTCCATATAATGTGGATCCCCTATATCCGCACTATCTACTCGTCTCACTAGTCTATGAGCATGCGGTATTCTCAGGTCTTCGTCAGTTGTAACTAATGTGCAACGTATGATTGCATTATCCGAATAATTATGTAACTGAAAATATGAGTAATGATATCATTAGATATGAAGAAACTAGTTTAAACAATTCCATATTAATATTATAAATAAGTCTGTTGTATAGAATTCAACATAATTACCTTGACTGTAGGTACGTTATTTTTATTTCGTTTACGTCCAGTATATACACCGAGCAAGCTTCCATGGGTTCCCACCATTTCGGATTTGTATCGAAATCTAAATTTCTCCATCGGCTGCACCATGATACTGAGATATGGTTCACCAAGTATCATTACTAGCAAGTTAAAAAAAAATTGATATGCATTTTCCAAATAAAATAACTGTCACTAACATCAGAAAAGAGTTTAATGTTAAATTATATAATAATATTAAATATTCATAATTCAGCAAGTATTAGTAAGTTGTTTCAGACAATTTGAAATCAGAATGCATACCTCCTGCATTTGTTAGATTAATATAATCATCTGTGATATGCATAGGTGACGAGGATGTCGACATAGGCGATGTCATGCTGATGTTTCCTTGAGATCCAGAACTACTGAATGGACTTAGAATATCTGTACTACCCATTGATGTTAAATCTGGAAGATGCAAAATACATGTATATAAAATCTTTTAATTAATTTATTTGTGTACACAAAATAAATATCTTTATATTAATTAACAATAATGATTCCACCCATAACTCATTTTAATAACTATATACAATACAAGGCACATTCAAAAAGTACAGTGAATGCAAAAGTATTCGTACAAGGGATATATTTTCAAAAAATTATTTTTAAAAAGGAAACATTAATTGTCAATGCGAGTCAGCACAGGTTGTTAGTATGTAAGAATCATATATTTCGGAATGAAATAAATGTAATTTTTGAAAAAATTTAATTGTGTAAATTTAAATATGTACTGACTGCTTACTATTTCGTCAATATAATAAATATAGAACTTGTCATATTTAATTGAATATTCAAATGAATTATCTACAATGTACATTGTAATAAGACAAAGTACTAACAAAAAATATTAAAGAAACTGGATACATTTACAATACATATCGATGATGATCAGATAATTTAAGACGTATGTACAGAGATATTTCAAAAGTGTGTGAAAAGGTCAAAACGAAATTATCATTACTAGTGGGGGAATAAACAATAAAGAAATACAATAAATAAAAGGAAAACGAAAAGTCAAACGAACTATAAAAAAAAGTATGCAATAACTATAAAACTTGGAAAAATTATTCTTCTTAAAATAAATCATGGTATAAAGTACATATTTAAATTTACACAATTGAATTTTTTCCAAAACTATATTGAAGATGATCCAATAATAAAAGTCGAAACGTCTGTAATTTTAATTTTCATTTCGAAATATATGATATTCTTGCACACCAATAGCCTGTGCTGGCTCACTGTGTTGGCTTTCTACCTATAATTTATTCTTTGAAACCTTCAATCAAGATTGAGAATTAATTGACAATTTATAAATAAAGAATAAAATACACTATATGTTTCTTAAAATTATTTTACCTAAAAAGATGTATAATAATTAAAATATATTAAAAATAAAAAATAAAAAATAATACTATTTGAAAAAGATATTTATATAGCCAAAAAATGTAACTTCTAATCTAAGATCAGGACCACATAAAGTTCTTTTGTTTTTTAATAAAAATTTCTCCTATAATAAACTTTCTGCACTCATTCTAGATAAGCACTACTTAAATATGAAAAAAGTTGTAATTCCAAACCTTGTTTGAAAAGTTGTAATTTCAACCCCTTTATTAATTGGTATTCTTTTTAATACCCAAATAATATTTATTCTATCTGGACAAATCTCTTTTGAATATAATATTTTTATTATTCATAATATACTTGATTCTTATATTTAAAACTCTTTCAAGCATATTCTTAAAATATCATAAACTAATCATAGATCAGTATTGTATAGTCTTTATTTTAAGACCATCTTAAATGTCTTAAGATGCTAATATAATTCTGTTATTGGCTTATAATATCTTGAGACTGTACTTAATTAAGAGACTATCTTATATATAAGAACCAACTATGAATTCCAGCCACAGAGCTATATTAAAATTTTAAGACATTATTTAAAATGATATTAAAATAAGTACCGAGTAAATACATTTATCTTAAAATATAAATATAAAATATTAATGATATAAAGGGATATAATCTGATCATAAAAACGATCAAATATTCAAGCACACAGACTTGTAATAAAAAGTTGCATTCCACATACTTTTATTTTATAAATGTTAAAAGTTTTCTTCGTATGATCAAATTATACTAGACTTAACAGATTATACTTTTAAATCTAGAGAAATAATATTCTATCTCAGTGAAAAAAACTTCCAACAATTGCAAAACATTTTGTTGAATATGGCCAATATAATTTCCGATATCTACAGATAAAAAGGGAGTATGATTGTTTTTTTACATGATAACCAAAGTTCTTTGAAATGTAAACAATTTTACAAATTATTACTGTTTGTAATAATTTGGGATTTGTACTAACAATCAAACATGGGATGACCAGATCTAACCTCAATAAACTAAGACATTCCTGATGAAAAAGTAGTACAAAAGTAGAGCAAAAGAAAAAGATATTTTAAATTAACTAATACAAAATAAGTATGTAATATATTTGAACTCTAAAATAGAAGAAAAAGAGTACATTTAAAAAGCCTAAGAATGATAAAAAACATGTATTTAGTATCAATGAAAAATGATTTTATATAATACTTTTTATATAATATTTTATATAATAGTTTTATCACAGATACATAGTAATGATCTAATAATTAGCTTGCTATACTTTATGTGCGATAGGCTTAATAGCTTCTGGTATCCTCATTCTCAAAATAAATACCAAAAAAAGTACACCCCGAACACGCTGAAAACTTGACATGGAGATCTTAAAAAAAAAAGGGTACAAATTCGAAAAAACTAGACATCTGATCATCCTAATCGAAAACGTGAATGTCACGCGACCAAGCGTCAAGATGCGAAACTGATTGATAGTGATTAATGATGCTGCAATAATATGTATAATGACACAACAATGCATTATTGATGTAAATTGTTAGTCGTGTTAACACATATCCTAGCACTCTTCAGACAATTCGGACGCAGAACAAAAAGCGCGCGGCGCCAGGGCGCGTGCTCGTATTACCGTTAAACTGGAAGTACGGGTCCTCATTATCTCCAATAACACCAGTCGTCAATATGCTGCGCATCGCCATATTAATATTTTCGTACGCGTCCGGCATCTCTCCGGCGATTCTCTTCACTTCGTACTAAGAAGATGCGGCTCGAGGAATGCGTTGAGTTGCGTGATGGTCTATCACGTCAATGCCACTGAGTACCGAGGCTTGTAGATTGACAGCCGATAGAACTCTATAAGCCGGACTATCGTCCCGACAACACTGCGATATAATGATAACTTGTTACTCACCAGGCGCGCATAATCGACTGCCTTTAATTCCTGAATGCGTCAACAGCATAACCTTGACAATAATTCTCGGTTCTTCCCCGGAGTTATCATGTGTGCCGACCAATCGTTTGTCAACGCAGCGTATACATGGATTTCCCGTAATTATAGGGACGTATTCGTGTCTTGCGATGCCCCGAGAAAAGTGTGCGCTATACGCTGTAGGGGTAATCCCCCAGATAATGAATTAAAATGGATTAAAATTTCATCTCTTCGAATGCGTATTTTAAATAAAATAAATTTTTTTTATTCAATTGAATCCAACTAAATTCAATTGAATTTAACTGGATTAGATTAAATTGGAAAACTGCATTTTCTATTCAGATTTTTAATTGAACAGTAAATATTCACAATGCGTTTTAAAAAGCTGATGAATCCGGCAAACAACTAATCAATTTTAACTCGATACACATAACCCAAATAGCCAAATAGGGCAATATGTTGCCATTTTGCTGTCACTTATTCCGCGTTTAATTTCACCAAATTAAAGCCAAAGTGTTTTCACAAATTGTTTGTTGTTCGGATATCTTCCATAGAATTCAGCAAACTACTGGCAAGTTGTCATCATGCGTGCATGGCCGTCATGTGCCGTCAGTTTGCTGTCAACATGACGAGTTTATTATGTCTCAATAAAATAATTCTTACAATTTCGTAAATTGTTCATGAAATCTATTTGTCCTCCTAATGCTAACTCACTTTACATTAAATTCCAATGATAGCAAATTGTTGACAAGTTGAAAACAATACATGCAGTGCATCAATTTGTTCTATATGCTTAAATCTTGCTTGACTATCTGGGAACTTTAATTTTTTGGATATCAGATTTATTTTGCATACACCTGAAACGCAAGAAAATATAAATGCTGGTAATTAATTCCAATGCATATAAAGTATCATTTAAGACGCCGCACTAATATAGAAATATAATTATATTACTTGTCTTCTTTTCTTGTCTTCTCTTTCGAAACATACATTGTATTTCCCGTTTCTTGCTTTTCTTTCCGATTTTTACATTATATTTTGTTGATTTTCATAGATGCGGAGACGTTTCCATAAATTTCTAATACTTTAAATTGCCACCTCTAGATTATTAAAATTGGTACTCATCTACAATTATGAGAAAATAGAAGACGATTAGTTGACAATTAGTTGAGGCACTCGCGTGAAAAATGAATTCGAATGCAGTTGTATTGGTTCTCTTTTACAAGTTCTTAATCTTTTCTTCATGCTGTAATATATTAGATATGGAAAAAGTTCAAGTTTTTTAATGCCATCTAACGGGAAAAACGCCACGAACTTTTTCCCACTAATATAATATGAAAATAATTTAGATTAATCTCATTAGCAAAGTTTAATATATTAAGCAATTAATTCAAATTGAATAGATGAGACTTTATAACAGGCCGCCTGTCCAATTTGAGCTCCGGAGCCAAAAAAATTCAATGTAAGATTTCATGGAAAAACTCTAAAGTCTCTGAAATTGATAAGCGTCACTCATATCAGAGATGCTTATCAATACTTAACCGAAAATCCCCGAAATCTTACATTGAATTTTTTTGCGTCGATGGCTTTGCGTTTTAGCTTCCGGAGTTCAAATTGGACAGGCCTCATGCTTTATAATGAAACTGTACAACAGTTTTATTATAAAGATGTATTCCTAGATAGTCCAGTGACGCTGTACTTCGTCGTAGATTTGTCTTCAACGATTTCGAATATACATTGTAGCATACAAACAACAATGTATATATGTATTATCAACAGTTTAACAGTAAGATAGCTAGTCAATGTTATCTTTTGCGTTGTTGGAAATATATGCTGCGTATTATTATGGCAACATACGAGCAATAGTACGAATTGATGACGATTTTAAAGTTGCTGGCAAATTGCTACTCAATGTTATTATATCGTAAAGGTTCATCAAGTTGGCATCAAGTTGCCAACAAATAAGGACTCAGTTGCTATAATTCTAGTAGTAACATATATTTAGTATTAAAAACATTATTTGCAATGCACACTTAGAATATCAATATGATATATATTAGATAGAATATAATATGATCAACGCGATGCTGCTAATGCTTTGAAACGTTTTTTAATTAGTCAGTTTATAAAATTCTTTTTTCTAATTGATCCAAAAGCATTTGTAGCGAGATTTTGATTACAGCCTTAACAAGCAACATGTCAGCAACAAGACAGATATGTTGCTATCTGCTAATTGTAAAAATTTTGTTAAAGTAAAAAGAGAAAGAAATGATATGCAGTCGTAAATAAAAAAAATAAAATAAGAAAACTGAAAAGATGACATGTTAGCGTTAGTAACATGTTATATTTTCAGTTTTCAACATATATATAATCAAATGAATTACAGGAATTTTTTCGTTGACGCTGTACTTTTCCTCACGTCAACATTACTCGGTGAAAGTGCAGATCATGAGTACTTCTTATTATATTCTTATAATATTACAAGAATTTTGTAGATGTTACGTCTTTCCCTAATTCATTTATTCGTTAAAATACTTGTGTGAATGAGTAAAAAGAATACATTTATTTTATTTTTTTTTAATAATTATTCTCACAAATATTAAATATATTCATTCGCTCTTACTATACAAATCCTTCGAATTTTCCATCGAATTTCCAGATAAAATTTTCAAATTTATTCAATTAAATATAATTTTAATTTAATCAATATTAATATATAATATATTAATTGAAAAATAAAGTTTGGTATTGCTATTGCTTGATCTTTCTCTTATCTTAAGTGTGAGTATTGAAAGCATAAACTTCGGAAAATTCCACTTTAGATAATCAACATTATTGCAATATTTAAATAATTCAAAATAAAATTTCTGAATTCTTAAACAGTTAATTTTTTTTTTATATAAAATAAAAGATCGCAAAAAATTATTATTAATCATATAACATCAAAAAATTTTGAAATCTTATATATATAATTTTACAATGCCGATTCTAATAAAAAAATTAGAGCCATCAAAATAATTTTTTAAAAACTTATTATTTATGTCAACTAATTGACTATAACTAATTGACTATAAGTTATAAATAATCGTATACTAAATGAATTTAAATACTTTTTATCCTAGAAAGAAGTTCCAGAATAAGAAGTCATTTAATTTCGCAAAAATAAATATGATTATCGATCAAATTACTTCACTCTTAGTTACTATAATCGTAATGTCTATTCTCCAAGATAACGATGTGGCGAACATCTATGATAGCACTTTCAGTACACGGTTATATCTTGCAAGACTTGATTAGCATATATATGGTGGGGAGACTGATTACAAATATATATATCTCTCTGTGGACACCTTCGAGCTATCTGAGTGTTAAATTCCACTCGTTACACGACTCGAAGAGACGCTTTCCCTGTAGACATTTAATCGGTCCACACACAACAATGTCAACTAAAAATGAAAAAATTGGGATTATTGGAAGGTAATATAATTAATTCTAATTTAGATTGTAATTTAAATTATTTAAAACCTGCAAGTTGTAATAATTATGCAATATACATTCATCGTTTAATGCGATTTTTCAACAATTGCTAATTGATTACTTCTTACAAATCGATATCAAATAATGGTAATTGATTATGATTAATTACTATTTTTTAACAGAGTATATTGCTATTCTGATGTAAGTTTAGTGTATTGGATTGGTTACATTATTTGAAAAATCTCCCTCATAATTTTAATCCTTTTTTAAAATTATTTACGAATTGTTATGTTAAAAGTTTTATTAAAAATGCGTTTTAAGTTGTCATTTTAACGACTGAAGCAGCGGTTGCTGTACAAATTACTATTTATGAAAATAATTATTTTTTATTATTTTTTATAATTTTTATTTTTTTAATTTTCATAAATAAGTTTAAATTTATTTATAGAACATTATAAATGATATAAAGAAAGGCAAAGTTTTAATTTATAAAATTGACCTTCACTATTGATTCTACATTAGCGGAAACTATAAGTTTAGAAAGGAAAATTATTATATTTTTTTACTAATCGCGTATAGTGAGTCACATTATAAAATAAGCAAGAAAAACATTCAACAATAAGAGAGTTGTCACATTCACAATTTAAAAAGTAAATGTCAATGAGTGAATTAAATTTTGTTCTCAATATTTTATTATATTACTATTATTAATCGATCATCAATTTTTTTTTAAAACCATCAAATTTTGATGTTTTACGAGAACATTGAAGAAAAATTCTTAATTGTATTTTTTTGTAATATTTTTTTGTAACTTACACTATTACGAGATAAGATAATACGTGGTAAACAACGTTTCTTGCAGTTATATCTAACGGAATGAAACAAACATCATAACACGCGAGAATGGATAAAATTAAATGTTTATCGTAACATGCGAGATTACATTCCAGATTTAAAATTAAATATCGTAAGTTTCATATCTTTTCATAAGATTATTTCCTTTGTCATATTATTATTATAGCGGATTAATCGGACGCAGTTGGGCGATGCTCTTCGCCGGGGTAGGATATCAGGTGACTATTTATGATATTGTTCAGGATCAAGTTAAGAATGCATTGGAGGATATCCGTCAGCAATTGAAATGTCTCGAAACCAGCGGCCTTCTCCGTGGTACACTGACAGCGGATCAGCAATTTAAATTGATAAAGGGTTTGTCTCTTCTTTTTAATTTACAACAATGTTTCTTATCTCTTAATCCAAAAATGATTATGTAAAGTGTAATGACTTCTAGTTACATGTTGAAAGATTCAAAATAATATCGATTTTTTTATCGTTGATATTATAGGATAGCTTTCCTGATCTTTCTAATTCCATTAGTCACGGAATTTAATGAAGGATTCATTGTAGGATCATCGGATTTGACGGAGACTGTGAAGGAAGCAAAACTGATCCAAGAATGCGTGCCAGAAAATCTCTCCTTGAAGACGAAAGTTTACAACGATCTTGATAAAATCGTAGATAACAAGGTGATTCTGTCATCTTCAACATCCACGTTCCGCCCGTCTCTTTTCAGCGAAAAGCTGAAACACCGTGAACAAGTTATCGTCTCCCACCCTGTACGTATTTCTCGAACTATTTATGATATAAAATGTATATAATAGATGTATATAATGTATGTAATAGATTTTTTCCGCTAAATCTTTGTTGCACAAATCCAATTAGCAAATTAATGTTTATGTATAAGAATTCATATTTATATTACATTATATCCGAAAAAAACAAATTTATAAAATTATAAGATTTATAAGATTATATTAAGTTTATAATTACAGAGATTCAATTTCTGATGCAGATAACAAATATACTTGTTTCTTTTTCTTGAATTCAATCTTACTGACACAGTCTTCTAAATAATTCAAAAATTAATAAGATCCGACAAAAAAATATTGATTATTTACATCGGTTACATTATTTGATAACCATTATAGTATCATAAATACAGGTAAATCCTCCTTATTACGTGCCACTCGTTGAAGTTGTGCCAGCCCCATGGACGCGTTCTGATATTCCTGAGAAAACAAAGGCTATCATGATAGAAATCGGTCAGAAACCAGTTGTTTTGAACAAAGAGATTGATGGTTTTGCACTCAACAGAATACAGTACGTAATCAGATGTGTTTTGCTTGCACAAAACCATTTTTTAAATTATCATTATCGTTTGACTATTTCTTGACACTTCACATGTAAGAATCATATCAATAGATATGCACTGTTAAATGAAGCTTGGAGATTAGTAGCTGATGGAGTATTAAGTGTAAAAGACATTGATGCAGTGATGAGCGAAGGTCTCGGAATGCGTTACGCTTTCATTGGTATGTTCGAGGCCGCGCATTTGAATGCCGAAGGTGAGCCAATACAGATAATTAAGAATTATCTGTATATAATAATTAAACGAAGTTTTGCCATGGGAATGCAATTCACGTTGCAACGTATCTTATAGGAATGAAGAAATATTGTGAAACGTACAACAAATCGATTTATGATACGAGCATGACTTTCGGACCGATCCCCAGATTCGTCGGTGAGATAGTGGAAAAGATCAGCAACGAATTGAACGAGATGTGTCCGCTCGACAAATTGCAGAAGCGACGAGCATGGCGAGACACCGCCTTGACGAAATTGTCTATACTTAAGAAAGAATTGGAACAGACAAAACAATAAAAATTTATGTATTGTACATATCCAATTGATATGTTAACATTGAAATTGTTTATAAAATAGACATATCTAATTACATACAAGAAGGGTTGGACATATTACTTCATAAAAATTACCTAGGAAAGTAATGATTCGTTACTTTTTCATAATGTTTAAAGATGTTAGATGTAAAAATTAAATTACTTAATAATTAATATTTTTCAATTGTAAAAATCAATATTAAAATTAAATTCTAAATTAGTCTCTCTATACCAAACTTATTTTTATATTAAACTTTTCTATATTTAAATCTTCAGTAATCTTTTATATCAATATTTTTATATTTTAATTTGAATTAGTTACTGTTGCAGACAGAAAAAAGTAAGCTTACATAAGTATATAGATGTATCTGTTTTATAAACGGTAGTCTTATTCTTATTCAGATTAAATGTAAAAGATATATTGTTTTTGATTGTAAAAATTAAATACGAGTTGTATATATACATATTAATAATCGAGATACATGTATTATTTGAAATTTACCGATTTTAAAATTATTTCTTTAATTATATAATTTAAAAACATAAGTCAAAATGAAATAATATTTTATTTTATTTATATAGCTACAGACTTTAACGTTTTCCTCCAACGCGAGGTGCGGACTTTTGCGTCACTTTAGCAACTTTTTGTTTTGCTACTTGTTTCGCTTTTGGAGGAGCAACAGCCTTCTTTGTCGCCTTTGCAGCTCTCTTTTGTTCTTTTGCAGCCCTGAGAAAAAGGAAACAAAATCAATTAAACGACATTATTATAACATTAGATAATAATATTACACCAATATAATAATATTGTATGAATCCGCAAAAGCCAGACAATGTAATTGCAAGATACAGTTCTGGGTGAAGCAATCCAGTTTTATTCTAAGACGTTCTGAAATCTGACGTAGCAAAATAAACCTTGTCAGAGGAACAGATGTCTACAGATCTGAGACCTCGTATGATATTCATTAATAGCAGATTCTTGATGTTTTCAAGCATCAATTTCTATTTTCTCTTTTTCTAAACTCTTTGTACTGTACAATATGTCATGCCCGAGCATACACATTTCAGACAGTTCAATTAGCTAACTTTAAACTCTTATCATTTAAAAATTATTGCACCCTTGACTTTAGTATTAGGATTTTTGTCTCAAAATGGTCTCAGAAATCTATCATTAATGGGTGTAAATATATGAAAAAACATCCTATATATTTACTATTTAATATAATAGGTCATTCATGTTACTTGAAATTCCTAAAAATGTTACATTCAAAATAAGATAAATATTCAGATATTGAAAGGAAAGAAAGCAAAGATGATTGAATGCAAAAAGAACAATGCAAACAAACTTAAATTTTAAAGTATTAAAAATACAAAAAAATATATATATTCAGATGTTGGAAGGGGGGAGAGAGAGAGAGAGAGAGAGAGAAAGATGTAGAATAAAAAGTATAACTAATGTGAACAGATCTACTATCATATCTAAATTATCTCTAAAACAATTAATTTCTTAACAAGAAAATAGATAATCGAAAGAATACATACTTGATTGCCTGTTCTCGTTGAGCTTTACGAATCTCTGGCTTCATGTTACGTTTAGCCAAGATATCTGTGAGAGAAGCACCCACAATTGCACGCTGGAACTTCTGTGCACGCCTCGTCCTCTTCTTGGTTTGCTCCTCTTCCTGACCCTTTTTGTGTTTACGTCTGAAAGGCAAATCACAATTCCATTAATAATAACTCAAAGTTCGAGAAATCATACACTAGTTTAATGTATATTTTTACCTGTATAAAACGGTCCATGTCACTTTCCTAGGATTTCGCCTCATCAAGTGTGCGGACTCGCATTTCGAGTTAAGAAAGGTGAAAGTCTGAGGAAATGAGACTAAAATTGGTTACGCCACGTGCAATAACAGATGATTGAGAAATACAGGACGTGTTGCGACATTGGGAAATGTTACAGAGTCATAATGTTTGATTATCCTACTTATATCATCATTATTTTGTCGATATTACATTATCATCTTAATGGTACTCACCTTTCCGTCAACTTTGACCATGGTTTTGCCATGGCCCGGATAAATCTTGTACCCGCTGTACGCGCACAAACCGATCCTGGAAATATCATATATGAATTAATTACGGACATCATGCTGGTGTGTTGCACGATGTTTCCCTCCTGCGTACAATGGGATCACACCGAGAACATCGGATGTATATTTTTCATGAAAAACCACAACTTACTTCATATTGAAACGCTGCAAAGAAACGCGTTCAACAAAAATGGCCGATTTTCCCGTGCAATTCCACGGACATGCGCTGATGTGCAAACAGGCAAAATGCCATTAGATCTGTTCATATTGCTTGCACTTTTTGCACTTAGCATCTACGTTTTCTCTCTTTTTAAGGAATACATATTCGAATATATAATTATCTCGTTATTATGTTTATACATGAAATTAAGATAAATCGATAGAAAGTTACTAATTAATACTTATATCAAGCACGATGTAAATGTAATGTAGTGGTCTGTTTTCTGTTTCTGTACTAGACTGCTCTAGAACTCTTTTTCTCGCTTTCGACAAATATCAAATATAAGATATGCTACGCGCGATATCCAATGAATGTACAGCTTTACCAATGTTCTTATTTTACGAAGAGTCAATTGCGCACTGTAGCAATTACTCACTGCCAATCACAGCGACTTTTGCATAGGGAATTTTGAATTATTTTTTTTTTAGCACTATGATTGGCTTGTGCGCAATTAGGTCTGAGTATCAATCATGAAACTTTATCCTTAGAATAGAAAGTGAAAAGTGAAAATTTTTACTATTGAAATTGAAATTTTTCACTTTCACTTTCCATCCTAAAAGTTTTCTGTGGCATTCTCGTAGTGTGTAGTAGAAGAGTGAATTTGAGTACAATTTTGATTAGCTGTTCCAATATACTATACCTTTGACAGGCATTTCGCGTGGTAAATCAAGGCTGAGAAAGAAAGCATTGCATGCCTCAATACTTAAGCAAATGGAGTTTTATTTCAGTGACGCTAACTTGAACAAGGATCGTTATTTGTCAGGACTTTTGAAAGAAAATCATTGTAAGTATTTCTTCTTTTTTGTGGTTTAAGATAATTCTATTGCGTTGTTTGAAATCCTCAAAAATTTTTGATCTTAAAATGAAATAGATTCGGTTAAAAAGAGAGAAAGAAGATTCTGAGTGTAAAAAAGTGTAAGCAACGCGCCACAACGCGCGAATAGACCTCATGCCTACAGGTGATATTTCATGCGTTTTTGTCGCACAAATTTTTCAAGCTTATTGATTGGCTATATAAATAGATAAATATATATATAAATAGAAATATCCGAGGACTATTTCTGTTCTGTACACATTTGTCATATGATAAAATGCACAAATGAAACAGCCCTACTATTGCGATTGTTGCGCCTATTCATCAATCAAAAGATTTTAGAACTATTCTAGAACGAGAACGTGATTGTATGCGTTTTTTTGGAAGCGTGGTTCTTCGATTTCTGTAAGTGAAATTCATAATCCATCGATCAAAAGAAAAAGATTGTATGCGTTTTTTAACGAAGTTTCGTCACAGTATATATTGTGGTTTCGTAATCTAACTTACATTGTAAACAACTGGTATGAATAAAATACAACTTAGTATAAATAAAATATAAAGTATATATTAACTCGAACACCAACTTTTAATCTAAATCTTCTTGCAGTACACGTGAACACTGTATTTTGCTAGGAAGGTGTATGTTCTTGTGAGAATACAATGGTGATGGAGGAATCAGATATGGAATTAGCTTCGGAAAGTATACCGGTTCCTCAGATACAGGAACCAGTAGTCGATACAGTTAAACGTAATAACAAGCCAGGCATTTCGCGTGGTAAACCAAGGCTGAGAAAGAAAGCATTGCATGCCTCGATACTTAAGCAAATGGAGTTTTATTTCAGTGACGCTAACTTGAACAAGGATCGTTATTTATCAGGACTTTTGAAAGAAAATCATTGTAAGTATTTCTTCTTTTTTGTGGTTTAAGATAATTCTTTGATTTAATTATCTTTTCTTAATCATATTAAATCGAAATTCTAATTGTAATTATATTGGTCTTTTAGATGTGGACCTTGAAGTATTCACAAGATTTAATAAGTTGCGTGAGCTGACCACAGACACAAACAGGATAGCTAAGGCTCTACAGGGATCGACTATGTTGAAAATATCAGAGGATGGCACAAAGGTCTGTCGATTAACATCAATTCAGAAGAAGGAAGATATTGATCAATGTACAATTTATGTACAAAATTTACCTCCAGATGCAGATCATGACTGGTTGATATCTATTTTTTCTAAATACGGGTTAGTAGAATATGTCTCGATTCCACGTTACAGAAGCAATAGGAAGATAAAAGGGTTTGCATTTGTGGAATTTGATAAGCCTAGCAGTGCTGAAGAATGTATTAAGGTAAGAGAAATAGTATTTATCAATGGTTGCCTAATATAAAGTCTGTATTGCATGCATTTTTTACACTCAGCATCTTTGCTTTTTTTCTTTTCAACACATCCAAATATATATCTATCTCATTTTAAGTTCAAAAATTTTGAGGGGATTTCAACTAATGCGAATATAATTATAAGACCTATTTATAGGTCCTATAATTAGATGAAGAAGATTATAGTTATAATTTCCATCACACTTAGTAGTATGATATAGTTTAATATTTTATTTTACAGACATTCCGGAAAAAGAAAGGTGTTTTGCCATCATATATATCTCCCAATGAGTTATTAAGTATAACGACATTTGATGAACCTAATAAAGATGCAGTAGTTGAAGTAATAAATTCAAGAACTAAGACAAGATTGAAAGATAATGAAAATGAAAAAGCACCCAATGAAGTGGGAAATATTGGCCGTAAAGGATTTCGTTTAAAGAGATTGACGACAGAAGAAGAAGAAACTGAGATTAAAGATAATATGTGTGAAATAGATATAGGGGATAATACTAACAAACAAAGTTCTAAAAAAAGAAAATATTCTTTGGAAAAATCTGTTACAGACGAAAGCGATGTTAAAGTTAAGAAAAAGAAGAAGGAAATTGCTGATCAAAATATAATAGATCAAGATGAAGGAAAGAAAATATCAAAATCTGAATCTGAAGACAAGAATAATACTCTTGATAATGAATCAGATGCGGCAGATAACAATGGCAAACAAAAATTTAAAAAAAGAAAATATTCTTCGGAAAAATTGTTTGTTGCAGATGAAAGTCAAGAAAAAGACATTAAAATCAAGAAAAAGAAAAAAGCCACAGATCAAAATATAACGTATCAACAGAACGAAAATGAAAAAGTAAAAGAAGAATCTAAAGATAAGGATAATACTTGTGACAATGATGTAGCATATAATAATGATAGACAAAGTTCAAAGAAAGAAAAATATGTCTTGGAAAAATCGCTTGTTGCAGATGAAAATGATGTTAAAGTAAAAAAAAGGAGAAAAACTGTAGATCAAAGTACAATAATAGATCAGCAAGACGAGAAAGAAATGGTGCCAAAAGAAGACTCTGAAGATAAAACTAATGCCTACGATGACGAAACAGATACAAGTAATAATGGTCGACAAAGCTTAAAGAAAAAGAAACTTGTTCCAGAAAAATCATATATTAAAGACGAAAGGGACAGCAAAGTCACTGGAAATAGTATGGAAAATCAAGAGATTCCGAATAAAAATCGCAATAAAGTTACAGAAAAAAAGAAGAGAAGACTTACAATAAATGATACAATTACTACAGAAGATGACGATGGAGAAACAGTAAAAAAGGAATGTCGAAAATCAGCGATAAATTTAAATAAAAATGAAACAGAATTGGAATATCCACATGAAGGCGATGACAATGACGAGGCAAATACTTTATTACAAATTGAAAAACATTCCACAAATGATTTTGGCACAAGAAATAGCGATATCGAGGAAATTAGTGATGAAAGGAAAAAGAAAAAGAATAGAAAAAAGAGAAGTAAAATTCAGGATAATGATATTTGTAGTAAAATAGGATTGCAAATAATGGCAAAATTAGATTGGAAGCGTCTTAGAAATAGATATTTAGATTTGCAACGCTATAAAATGAAACAGCTAAAAATGCATTTGAGAAAAGCTGAGGTGGAACGAGACGGAATTATAAAAAATGGATACCACGATAAAACTGGACAGATTAATACATTGCATGATAAATCAAAACATGAAAATGATAATGAAACATTTGAAGAAAAATCTTGTGGACGCGTTAATTATGCACCAGGAATTATAGTAAAAATTGAAATGGATGAGCCTTGCACAGATACGCAAAGTTTCAAGGTACATTCATATCAGAAAAAAAAAATTTTAGTTAAATGTTGTATCTTTAATTTTAATAAGAACTTTATAAATGTAAAGTATTATATATGTGTATATATAAAGTGTATATATAAAGTGTATTTAAAATTTCAGATGGAGTTAAAAGACAACAATTGTGTAAAATATGTAGATGTAATAGTTGATTCTTGTGAAGCCTATATAAGATGCGATACAGCAGAAGCTGCGCAAACATTTACACAGCAGAGTTACGAAGGAAGACATTTAACTATTTTAGAAGGTAAAAGTATTTAGAAGTTATATCTACATATTACGAATATATTTGTTACCAACTCTATGTGCTAATTTTCCAGGAGATGAAGAGAAATTATATTGGGACAAGATAGCGGAAGATAGGATGGAAAAGTTGAGTAAAAAGAAAAGAGTCAAACAAAGGGGGCGTGATAAATTGCTCAAACGAGCAGAGAAAGAACTTGGGAAATGTATAAAGTTTGATCAAGATTAACTTATGGTATTATTCAATTTTTTATAATTCAGCTTAATTAAGTATATGTACACATATATTAATTAAGTATATGTACACATATACGTCCCAAATGCGCACATCGCAGTTGAACACATCCACTTCGGCCGACATCTTCTCCAGTGTACCATCAAGAGAACATATTATTTCGTTTTAATTAATAATGGATTCAATAGAGACGCTTGCTATAATACGAGAACAATTTGAAAACTTCGCGATCTAATTCATAAGAATTGTGCTGATACACAGATCACTTTGTGGCGTGATAAAACAAGCATTGATCCATTCACATGATTATGAATCTATAGCTTTGTCTGCACTATATATTAAGCTCCTTCGCTTTCTTTTTTTTTTTTCAACATTTGTATGCCATAGATCTTATATAAGATCGATATCATCAACAAGATATTAAAGATCGATATC